CTTGGGTCCCGTGGCTGTGCCTGCAGCCGGCCCGACGCCGGGGACAGGGCGGCCTCCTGCAGCCACCAACTGCCCCTGTTTCTGGGCCTGCGCTCCAGCCCGGGAGAGAGGGTGGAGGGGCCTGGCCTGCTCTGGGGAGTGGGGTGCCCTGTAAGGTTACGGGCTGCATCAGCCACAGCTCTGAGTTCTCAGGGTTCAGAGCTGTGTCCCCACTTCCCAGGGGTCCTGCAGGCAGCTCCCCCTCACGGAGCAGAGGCTGGGAGGCTGCGGGGGGCGGAGGAGGGAAGGCGGGCGTGTGGGGCCAGGAGGGAGGTGCCTTCCGGGAGCCTGTGGTCTGCAGGGCAAGTGGTGTCCACGGTCCCGTGTCAGTCCTCCGCCTCCTTCACAGCCTGTGCCCCTCCAGGTACTCAGGTCACCGAACCCTGGGCCCGTGTGCCTGTGTGTGCCAGGGAGCATGTGTAAGCACACAGATGTGTGCCTGTGTGCATGTTTTGTGTGTGTGTTTGCATTCAAGCATGTCTGTGTGCACATGTGTGTGTGCACTTGTGTGTGTGTGTATGTGTGTGTGTGTGTGTGTATGTGTAAGTATGTGTGTGTGAGTGTGTGTATGTGTGTGTGAGTGTGAGTGTGTGTGAGTGTGTGTGAGTGTGTATGTGAGTGTGAATGTGTGTGTGTGTGTGTGTGTGTGTGTGTGTGTTGGCGCGGAGAGGAACTGGGGACTGATGCTAAAGAGAAAATTCACTGAGTACAAGTGTGTTCCCAGATGACCAGGGTCCTGGAGGAATGTAAGATTTGGCCACGCTCCTCCCTTTCCGGAATATTCTATGCATACTCCTATTCAGAGGCATGAGGCCTGGATAAAATGGTCTTGGGACTTTTCCTTCCCTCGAAACTGTTTTGTGTCTGTCTGCTGAATCCAGCTTTTAAGCCGAGGAGAGCTTCCCAGGTGCCTAACAGCTTTGGGGCACTCAGGAAATGTTAAATAACCATTATCATCAATTGTAGCATAAAGGAGTAAACCACATGAAATTTCATTTTCCTGCCTGCTACCATGATCAAAAAGACAAAGCAAACGAGGTTATCTCCTCCCTGGCCAGAGACAATCTCATTGCCTCTGCTCCATCGACCACAATGTATGTGTGAGAGTGTGAGTATGTGTGTGAGTGTGTGTGTGAGTGTGTGTGTGTATGTGAGTGTGAATGTGTGAGTGTGAATGTGTGTATGTGAGTGTGTATGTGTGTGTGAGTGTGTGTGAGTGTGTATGTGAGTGTGTGAGTGTGTGTGGTCCGTTCCCCCCGGGTGTGAACTCCAGGACAGTTTTCACCCAGGATTGCTTTTCTTTGTTTCCACCCCTTTGACTGTCACACCAGCATGAGCTCCAAGAAGCTGTTAAATAAAAATTCCGAAAGGAAAATGGACAAAACACCACGCGCGGACTCACCGGGAAGGAACTGGAAGCCGTGCAGCCACGCGGCCCTGCCTCCGAGCCCCATCCCGTCCCCGGTGTCTCCCTCCGTGGCTTCCCCGCTGGCTGGAGGGGCTGCGTGGTCTGGGACCAGGCCCCCCCTGCGGTCGGGGTGTC